CACACCAGCGGGTAATGAGTGTTGATACAGCACTGCTTTTTAATTTTCTGAACGGGGCTTCATGGCAGAGAGGGAGTGCTCTCACCGATACCGTCTGGCAACCCAGCGGGTATTGGTTTGACAAGACTGACTTTGCCGACTCGACCCAAAAGGCTGAAACGAGCCCAGAGTTTTTTCCCTTAAATAAAAGCTGTTGGACAACATACGTTCACTTGTCCAATCGGTTTATGGGCGAGTAGAATGTTTTCTGTGCAAAAGGGGGTGACCATGTGCTTGTTTCATCACTCTTATCAGCTTATTTGTCTCCGTTTGAGCATGGATTGTTCTTGATATTATGTTTGTTTAACCATAATCGCGTCGTTGAGTCTCAGAACTCCATATCTGGAGGGTCCTACCAAGTATGTGTACTCTGTGTAATCCCAGATAACTTTCATGATTTGGAATGTTTGGCCAATACCAGTTACATTGTATGTTATTTAGCAATGGGTATGGCATCAGAGAACCTGGAGGAAACCGATGGAGAACAAGGGGAGAACATACACATTCAAAAAACTAAACTAAAACTATTTTTATTTTACCAGGTAAGGCCCACTGAGCTATTTAGATCTTTTTCAGAAGCGACCTGGCTATCACAGATGATAGCTCAACGAAGTGGCTCATCACGTGCAAATGTATATCAGCCAAATACTCTAAACGCATGTTTCTAAATGTGGAGGGAAAAACCGGAGATTCCGGAGAAATATCCACGTGACCCCGGGGAGAACATGCAAACTCCGTGTCTACAGGCGTCGCGGTTGAACCCACGACCTGTATACCAGGCGAGGTAGTTAATATCTCGCCACCGTGCCCCCCCCCCCCTCAATTCCATACATGAAGGCACCCGAGTTTGGAAATCGAACTCAGGCCCTTCTTGCTGTGTGACACAAGTGTTCACACGGCGTCAGCCTGCTGCCCAAACTGGTTTGGAGAGGCGCGTGTCCGTATTGATTTTAAGGAGCCAACGGCTCGAGGGTTAACCCTGTGTTGAGTCATCTTTGTAATGTTTTCACGATGAAACATTCAAGTAAGCGCCTTATGTAAGTCCTGGCGAAATGCGTCAGAGCACGTTGGCAATGTCAGTTTTCACAAGAAGTGGGCCGTTTGTCAATTCAAGCCACGGTGACGTCTCGCTGTTCAACTCAACCAAAAACAGTGCATATTCTATTTAAAGCTTTCGTGACTGCAGGGATTCATATTCTTGGTTCTTTCGGTAAAGTCACATAGAAGGGACATAATAAAATCATAAAAATAAAACAATAAAATGACGTTCATTATTTTATTACTTCCCTTCAACGTGACTTTACCGAAAGAACCAAGAATATAATAAGGGCATAGTTTATCAACCACGGAACGGATAAAGGACCATCCGCATTGCAATTCGTGACATATTTAAAAAGCGTTGGGAACCCTTGCAAGTTCGTATATCATCGTGTGTCATCGACAGCACCTTTGTCAATCCACTGCTGGTGGAAGACCTCCCCATGCAGTTCATTGCTAACCATTGTCAACTGCAACAGACATTTTGGGCCATTGAGTATTTTTTTCTCTCTCAGAATTGATGAGGTCACACTCACACCTCTTACCGACCCATACAGAAAAAATAATCCACTTGGTGTACTGCCTTGTTTCCCTGATACATGTCTCACACACACACTAGAGCTCAATCCTCGCATGATTCACCAACCCACGAAAATTATTAATTACAAGCACGCATTACAAGCATTCATGTGAGTAGAATATAACACGAATTAGAATGGGCAGAGACTAGAGAGCTATAATCAACAGTCATGATCTATCCACTGCCGATGAAGGCATCCCCAAGCCGTTGCCAGTCGTGGAGGTTGTTTGACAACCACACTGATCAGTAATTAAAAGATAAAGCTGCAGCCGCGTGCATTTGCTTGCTAATGCCATTGCCGGCGAGAGGGCCTCCACTCGAGGTGAGGAGAGCCCTTGTTGAGTCTGGAGGGTATTTGGCCTACTCTTTCACGCTGACCAGACATCTTGGAGGGGGTGAGAGTACCTTGACTTTACCCAACAACACATGACCTCGCAATCGACTAACTGTGGTGTTCCCATTTATACTGCTGGGCGGTCAGAAGCTGAGTTTGATTGAGAAATGTGCCCCATTATATCACCTGCTGTAAGATAATGTGCGATCCATGGCATCATGGCAGCACCCACGTACGCAACTTTTGTTTGATATTCACGTGAAGAGGTTGGCAGTATGTATGTTTCATAATGTTTACCATTAATAATTCAACGCATATCGGGGAGCACTCGTCTCAAATTGGAATTTACTTTGTGGTACGTTTTATCTGCAATGGATGCAAATAACCTGGAATGCGCTTGACTTCATCAAATCTCAGAAGCTAAGCAGGTTTGAGCCTGGGTAGTGGATGGATGTATTTATGTTGAACTTTCGCACTGGAAGTAGCCAGCCGTGCTCATCATAGGATGGACAACAATCTAAACACATACACGCTGTCTTAAGGAAATGGGTTTTGAATTTAGATTTAAAAGTGCATAAGCTCCAGTCGCTTTCCTTTATCGGAAGAGCTTTCCAGACGGCCGCAGAAGCGCATTTGAAAGAGCACGATGGAGTGACCGTCCTTATGGTGAAACCACCATATATATATTTCGAGTCCATTGTTCTAATCATTGCACCACATCAGCATGCAATGAGGAGGTGGGTGAGTTTATTTAAGTCAATATCTAAGTTCTTCGTATTGGCCGATTGGCCTTTCGTCCTTTGCGTGGTCAAGTAATGAGCTGCATTACGTGTGCATGTGTTTGTGTGAGGATATGCGTGCCTAAGTCATACTGAGTAAACTCCGGGGATCCTCTGCTGAATATGACTCATGAACTTAAACAAAAATTCATGCCCTTCCAAAAGATGAACGGCTGTGGGGTTCGAGTCGAGACAAAAATATTTGTTTTCAAGTGCAACAACTGACGTTTACACTTCTGCGCGCACACACACGCTATCCCCATATGACCAGTGCTCGCCTAGTTGCTCATTTGTGCGTAAAAAACCAACCATGGCTGAGCCACTTCTTCATTTGTGAATCTCCTTCTGGAGCATAGCAACCGACACGTCTATGTCTAGTGGGATGCATAGCAACATAGACGTTTATGTCTAGGTACGTTTGCCAGGAGATGGCTTCAGTTGATGTTGACATTTGTGCACGGGTGTCTGAGACAGATGCTAGAACATTCGCGACAAGGCAGGATAAGCAATACGAAAGTCTTCAAGTAAACATGATGGGTAAGTGTTGTAGATATGATGAGGACAAAATGTCTAAGCTGCAACCTGCTACCCATCAGATCTCAGAAGCTAAGCCAGTTTGAGCTTCGTATTGTTAACTCGGGTTGTGTAGTGGCCAGGAAATGTCAGTAAATCAATAGATTATTGAATCTATCTGTGTGGAGCTTTGAGTGTTATCCCTTCATATAGTTTTTCTCTGAATTCTCAGATGTCCTCCCACAAGGCTGAAGAGTCGGTGATACTTTTCTCGACAAATACATTGTTTTAATTATTATTTTAGCCACTCATTTTAGGGTCCTGCCATAGTAGTGAGAATTCCACATTCGTATACCAGTACCCAGTATATCCATAAGACAATCATTGTTAACGTCCCACCTTGTGATGCAATTTTCAAGGTGGTGCTCGTTTTACCAACTCAAGAGAGATGATGGGCTCAGTTTTCGAGAGCTCTGCTGCTCTGCAAACTGAACTATAAATTCGGTAAAGCACATGTAAGCAGAACTCCATTATGTGTCTCCACATATACATTCATATACTTTTAGTCCATCAGCCAATTGCCTTTCTAGATCGATATGATCAAGCAGCATTTGTTGAATAGCAAGCACTCCCTGGGTCGGTTTGACCTTACGGGTCTCATCAGCAAAGTTGTGCTTGTTCAATGCTGCTCATGAGACCCAGAAGGTCGAAACCGGTCCAGAGTTTGCTTGCTTAAAACAAATGCTGCTTGCTGTTGTTGGTCCGGGAAGTCAATTGGCAAATTGACTGAAACATATTTCTTCGTGCGTGTGCATAAAGAGGCACAATGGTGGAAATGTGCTTGTGTTTGTTGCTACCCACGACGCTCCACGGCTGTGCATAATCAGTTTGTGTACACGTTTGGGCAAGGAGTTTGTGGCCTTCATAGACTCGCACAAATGCCCCACGGTGCCCTCTGGACACGTACTCTTAATGATTTCACACTCGTATCAAAACCCGATTGGAGGCATTTTGTTGAGTTTGTGTAAAATAATCCATCATCGTTAAAGGCTAATTTCCTTTTGTGGCATACGTTCCAAAACACTATTATTAGCTTATTGCCACGAGCAGTTATTTGCACATTGCACCGTGCAATATAAAATAAATGGCAATAATATTTTTACATGGTTTTTTTATTTTTTATAGCGCAGTCCGTGACATGTTGATTATTTTACAACTAAACCTAGAGGGAAATATGATGTTGAACATTCATGCACGCAATAAAAGTATTTCTTAAAAAATAATTGCTGGTCTTGTATTGTTATTGCATGACTGGCATGACCGAATCACGCTCAGATGATTGCGCATTCACTGAAGTTTTATAATTGAATGTGTGAGTTTCATTTGAGCATTTCTTGGAACGTTCTAGACGAACTTTGTTGTCATTGTTTGCAAAAATTTTCTAAAGCAACAAACACTTATATGCCTCCTCTAATATTTCTGTTGCTGGAAGGGATGATGGCCATTAGTCAAGACCAACATCATTGGCAGCCAAAAATACAAAACACGCCTGAGAGGTCGTTCTCCGTGGAGATGGAGTGATGACATCGGCTCGTGTGTAGGAACAAGACCGATCATTGCATCGCGTAACCACAAGAAATGGCAACGGTTTCGGAAGACCTTCATCCAGCAGAGAATAGGTTGTGGCGAATGATGAAGACGGTGAAGATTGCATCAATAATTTTCCTGTTTTGTTTATTTTCCTTATCACTGTATGTTTATTACACAATTCTAAAGCAGGAGAGGTCAATGCAATTGCTCATTTCTCCACCGGCTTGTATGAGAACACGGCGATGAGCTGCTTGCTGTACTCGGGGATGAATATCTCCATGAATCCATCTCCGTCCACGTCCTCCACCGCGATCTGCATTCGACACGAGCGCGCGTCGGGCCCATTACGGCGAGGAGGGGTGAAAGAGAAAAGAGATTGCGCAAGCGAGCGGGTGTGACTTGATTGCCAACAGGTCAGAGGAGTTCACTTGTTTCAATATTGACTGTCCAGTTCACTCACGAGCTGGGCGGAAAGCCACCGCAATTTATGGGGCTTCGCTGGGACCCCAGAATGGACACTCTTGCCCTCGCGAGAATCGTTTGATTTGATGGAGTGCTGTCGCAATGCGTTTAACGATGCATTGCTTCGGGTTTCACAGTGATAATGCAATCATGCATGTGTCCTTAATCAATGTTAATTGCTCGATGGAAGTATACTGCCGACAAGCCTGTTATCACCGAAAACATACTGGCCGCGCGTTTTTTTTAAAAATGATTTATGTTATATTGTTGGTGCAGTGGTTAGAGCACTGCGCTATGAACCTAGTGGCCTGAGCTCGATTCCTAGACACGACTAACATCAGTTTGTCCATGATGTCTGAACCTGTCCTGGCTTTGCCCCTTCACAAAATCTTCACTGACCAGCGTGGTGAAGTACGGTCAAACAACGCCCATGACCAACATGATTGTGGGGAATACAGTCGTGGATTAACAAAGGGCTGGAAATGTATTTACCCCTAAAATGTATAATGTATCGTCCCATGATGACATGGCATGCGGAGGCCCTCATCCAGCAAATTTGTGACAAAGGGCTGTCCATATTTATTATTGCTTATGAATAACAAGTGAACATCCTGGACTAAGACCCTCAATCAGGGCATTGCACTGTGTCTCTCAGTGATGATAGTGGCGGTACATGTTTGCATTGACATGGCGCTATTAAGTAAATTATAATTTACTTAAATTATAATTTACTTAATAAGCGCCATGTCAATTCAATAGCGCCATGTCAATTCAATTTGGTACTTTTCTACTTAGCTCCTAAAGTTAGTTTTTTGCATCCACCGGTAAACAATTTCACGCATCTTTTCAGCACGTCCCACATTTAAAGCGGTCGCGAGGCATTGAGGACATTGTAATGTCCACAATCTGCAATTTGCACTTTCCTATAGCAGCAGCCTGACACGACGAAGAACTTTAGGAACCGCTTATAAAAATCAGTTTCGTGGAAGTGTTCCCATAAAACTAATTGCCAGTGTATTGATGTCGATGTATGAAAGATGCTCCTAAAAGCTACTCTTTTGGGATAGCCGTAGCAGGCGATGCGCTTTTTTCCTTCGCGACGTTTCGCCTCCGACGTTGGAGGCATCTTCAAGATCTTTTTCGCTGCCACATGCTAGTTTTTTAGTTTAATTACGTGTGTGGCAGACGACGGCATTTGTGAGACAGCGGCCAATCACTGGTGCCCGCAACCACGCCTACGGTTCATCAGCGTGCACAATGAAGAGAGAAACATGATGAAATGAATGAATGTGGATGAGCCGTACCTCTCCCACAATACCGCCGGCATCGAACAGTGTGTGATTGCTGTAAGCCCACTGGTTGGAATCGTTGTCATTCACGGACTCCAGAATGTACGCCTTGCCGTCGTCATCTCCGGCGAGTACAATCGTTGGCTTCTTCTGCGAGCTGAACAAGCACAAAACGCATTTGTTTACCAAGTGGGTTATTGAACGGAAGCTGAAAAGTGAGTGAAGAATCATGGCCGAGATGCCTGGTTGGAATTACATTGAGGGATGGAGACAGGGCCACACGGATGACAGAACATACGCAGATAACATCATTCAAGCTGATTTAAAGCTTTCGTGACTGCAGGGATTCATCTTCTTGGTTCTTTCGGTAAAGTCACGTAGAAGGGAAGTAATAAAATAATAAAAATAAAACATAATAAAATTATTCTCACGACGTTTCGGCCACAAACGCAAGCAGCCAGGTCCGTCGAGGCGACAGAGTCTGTCGCCTCGACGGACCTGGTTTTTACCTGAGGACGGCTGCTTGCGTTGTGGCCGAAACGTCGTGAGAATAATTTTATTATGTTTTATTTTTATTATTTTATTACTTCCCTTCTACGTGACTTTACCGAAAGAACCAAGAAGATCATTCAAGCTGTTGGGAAAGGTAAGTGGGGCTTGAGCCGGACACGTCCCTCGAAGGGACAATGGCCGATGGTCAATCATAGAACCATATTGGCAACCAAAAAAGTGGAATGCATCTCAGAGGAAGTCCACCAAGGCATTGGAACAATGAGATCAGTATCGAGCAGTGCATTGACGATGATAATGATGATGAAACATGGAAAATGTTCGTAAGTTAACATGTGAAAAATGGAAAATAAAACCATGCGAATTAAGTGATTAAATGTCATGCCACAATTCAAGCGTATGGGTGTGCAATGGTGGTGCAGTGGTTAGCACGTGGTGCGACAAACGAAGCGGCTTGAGTTTGATTCCTGACCACAGCTCACGTCAGTCGTGAGTGATATCTTAAACTGTCCTGGACCTTCACCCAGAAGGGGATTGACCAATGGGGGTTGTAAAGTATTACTATGATTATACTTAAGAACAGCTTTCATGTGGCTGAAAACATGTCCATTAATTCTCACAAACTTAAAGACAAAAACACGGACCTCGCTTTGCGCTGCCTGGGCTATAAGGAAATTGCTATTTGCGAGCATTTATCGTGCCACGAAAAGTTTGAGGGGTGTAAGCTGGACAAAAATAACCCCAGTCACCTTTATCTCCCCGGCGGTGTTTGTTGATACATTGGACTCAAAAACAGAGATAGCACAAATTAGAATCAAATGCAGGTGAAAGGGGTCATAGTGCAGAGTTCTGTACGATCACCACTAAAGTTTTTTTGTTTGTTTGTTTTAATATGCCGGACATGTTCACAGGTTTGCACAAACATGTGTGCACACACACAAAGACAAATGTCTCCTATTTAACTCGTGCTCTGCCTTTGCGCCTCAACCGACGCGTGTCAAGCGGAGCGAGGCACATAGGTGGGCGGTGTGGCCAGCACCACGCGCGATATTGGCGCGCAACAAATACCACCGCCTCATTTTAGGCTTTCCGTGAGTCAGCAAGGAAAGGGCAAAGTTCAGCTTCAGATTCCAATTGTCCATGGGTGCGTTGTGCACAGCTGGGAATCAAACCCGCATTGCTTCAATCATAGCACAGTACACAAACAATTTCACCACAGCTCCACCGAACAGGTGCACACGTGCACACACTCGTATGCTGTACTACAACACATTGAAGATCCCAAATATTGTTGTAAATATTGTCGGGGCAGATGCCGCGAGAGAGCGCCTTTTTTATGATCACAATGCCCGATCACCTTGTTAATCCTTGATACTGATGTCTACATACCGCAAGACAGGGCCCATTTAAGACTGAGCCAACCTAGAGGAGCCACAGGACTGGTATCTGACATCACTCACCACAGACATTAGCCACGGCCAGTTATCGAACTTAAACACACACACACCTTGACATATTTAACACACACCAGCTAGTGTCTGGCCTGAAAGATTATGTACAGGGTACTTTAAATAAATGTTAACACCTATATGGGACTTTAATTTTTTAATGGAAAAATAACGGAGAATACAATGTGACATGATAACAAATGTATGTTAATAGCTTCAAAAAGTCAAATAATCTCCACTTGTTTTCCATCACTGTCAACACGTGCCTGGAATCCGTTCCAGGTGGTCTCCAGAGCCCGGAGGCACATTTATTGTGATATTATTGCAAATTCTCGTAAGTGTTAACATCTTTTTGAAGCGCCCTGTATACGATCGGAGAGGCAGTAGTCCCATTTGTGCGATGCGTTTTCAGGTTGTAACCACGCGTTGTTCCCGTCGCGTGCACACATGGCGAGTGAGCCTCCTCCGGGCACTGCGGTTTCCTCCCAGACAAAGCGACACCAACATCGGGGGCGGGCGGCCGTCGCCGAAGAGCTTGAGTCCATTCAGAGTCAACCAACCAAACAAACCGGCAACACCAGCAAGCAGCGGCCGGGCGACGCTCTATGTAACCCGAGGGAGAAACGCGAGCTGCTCAACTTGGGTTCCCCTTCAAAAGAAAGGCTCCCGATCACGCGGAGCGAGAACATCGCAACATCGCGCCGAACAACACCGCGGTACGGCAGCAGCAGCAACAGCAGCAGCCCCGAAAAGAACGTTCGTGCATTTTGCCCCATGTAGCCACGCAGCGCCCATACCTCCCAGCCCTCGGGAAGAACGTCTTTGGCGCTCCGGGAGATCCGTTCCCCGGGAAGATGGAGTGCACCGTGTAGCCACTCGCGAGGACGTGCTTCGTCCAGGTGCCCTCCATGAAGTCGTCGGGGATCTCGTAGGCGAGGACTTTGCCGTCCTTGCCCTGCTGGGACCACGTGGTGGCCAGGATGTCCTTGCGGCCGTCTCCGTTCAGGTCCACGAACTGCAGGGCCCACCACGCGGTGTCATTAGATAGGACAAATGTGGCTTGAAGGGTATTTGGCTGACATGCATTTCCACGCGACGATAAGCCACTTCGTTGAGCAAAATCATTTGTGGCCAGGTCGCTTCTGAAAAAGAGCTGTATTGCTCAGTGGGCCTTACCTTGTAAAATAAAAAAACATTGTTTAGTTTAATTTAGTCGGCATCTCTCATTGCAGTCGATGACAAAAGCCCGTCCAATTCCAGCCATAGTCTTCCTCTGTATCGACGACAACCTGTGGAAGTTTGCTTAAATCTTTTGCGGATTTCAGGAAGTAACCGCATTTTTTGTCAAACACCCTTGGTTATGTATATGTTGGTGTGAGGGGCAGGCAGTTTCCACCCCCCCCCCGCATTGTCTCGCCACGGTGACGAGATTTTAACTACCTCGCCTTGGTACAGAGGGGGGTAGTGGGTTCGATTCCGACCCTGACGACCCTTACGATGAATTTTTCTCATATATTTCAAGTATTTGGCTGCTGTACATTTCCACGTGATAAGCCAACTTCGTTGACCTATCATTAGTGGCCAGGTCGCTTCTGAAAAAGAGCTCGATAGCTCAGGGAGCCCTGCGTGGCATTCTGCCCCGGAAACAACCTCGGAAAACTATGGGCGGCCCTAAGTGTGGACACCCCCAGTGAGTTGTTTGTGGCTCCAGATTTAGAGTGCGCTTCAGGTTTTCCAGTCTCAGGTGATAACGTGACTCATGCAGCCAGCTATGGCTGCAGGGTTTTGGTAGTACATGTTGTTTATGCCATTTATTGTGAAAATTCCGTCACAGTCCCTGTGATCACTGTTTCATTGCTTCCATGGCTTTATTTTGGTGATTTCGAAAAGTGTATTGGTTTAGCCATGTTTGTTTGTTGTAGTACAAAGTTAGACTGATGGCCTTAATCTAAGTTGTCCTGTGGTTGCTGTTGGTTGTTTGACTTGCATCCCACTGGGATTTTTGCAGACAGCGTTGGTGTACGGTGATTTTTTTTTGCAATATTTTGCTGTCTTTTCTTGGATTTTCTGTTTGCACTTAGTCACATATTCACTTTAAGATGTTTTTTTGTTCATGTTTTAGTTTTTTGTTTGTTTCGGTTGCACCCGATTCAAGAGCCGAATGGCTCACAGGGCTATACCTAATAAATTAACTTGAACTTGAACTTCATTGATTGTGAAGACACAAAGGCAGCGTGTCGCGATAATGATGAAGGATTCCGCTGTTGCTGCAAAAGTTGCTGGGCTCCCACCAGCCCGGTTCACCTGGGAAGCTGCGTGGGCTGCATGCGCCGGTCTGCGACCACTGTCGGTGCATTCGAGATACTCATTGAATTCACCTGCGCGCATTGTCACATTGGACTGAGATGGGGTCACATTGAATCGTTTTATGAACCTAAATTGTATTGCGGCATTTGTTTTAAGGGTTAAGTGGTGGCACAGCCGTGAACGCGGGTGACCCGAATTCGATTCCCGGTCATGGCTAACATCAGTGATGAATGACATCTATACTGTTCCTGCACCCCCCACCCCCCCACCTTTTCCAACATTTACTGACCAGCGTGGTGAAGTATGGCCAAAAACCCTGTATGACCGACACGGTATGCAGAGAGCTTCATCCAGCAATGAATTGACAAAAGGTGAGTGAAATGTTCTATTTATGAATCAATCCATCGTTGGAGTACAATCTTTCTCCAATAGCTGAAGTAAGACCCATCAATTGTTCGCACTGATATTCGAATAAATACGCCGTTTACAAGAAACACAATGGGAGGACATCCAGCGAGCAGATTGAAAAATGCAATCAGTTTGATCATAAGAGACGGCGGCTTGGGTAGGTCTTTATCCAGCAGTGGATCGATCATGGCTGATGATAATGATATCAATTTGCTTTCGATGAATGCGTTTGGTGACTCTGTAGCCCAGCTCTCTCTGCGCTCAGCACTGAGCCGGTGTGCGAGCAGTGGACGGTTCGATTCCCCACGCGTTCATTTCTGTGGCTTGTCTTTTTCACAGGATATGAAGAAAAAAATAATCGACGTCAGCTTTTGCAACAATAACTAGATAAACATAATAGGTCAACTTGTGTGTGTGCCATGAATGAAATACAACATTGTGAAATGGCTGTCGAAAAAACACAACCCGATACTGTATATATATATGCCTGCTGTCATGATTGTGGAGGGGTGTCTCTGGGCAAGAGCCCACTGGGTGTATCTGCTTACCGGTTGCTGTAGGATACAGGAACAGCATTACCTGCACTGTACCTGTATCCTGGAATCAATTGGCTCTCACCAGGTGAAAAGAAAGGCCGCCGAATGTCCACGGAATTGAATTGAAAAGCCCCCAAAGAATCGTCGCCATATAAAATCATCATAATTACTATCATCATCATCGTCGTCATTTAACATCCAAAGTACAATTCATGAAATATCAATGATAATGTGTACATGTCATTCTACGTCAATACCATCAATTATCATTTAATATTAACCATTATCATAATTGTCTAATATCAATAGTGAAAATTATGAAACACCATCACCAATAATAATCATATTTACACGACGATCACAATTATCGTCATTGTTAAATATCACCATCATAACGAGCACTGTAAAGCAAATGTAACTTGTTATAATGAACGTCCACGAGTCTTTGAGTACAACACTCACACAAACTAATATAACGAAGGTAGAGATTGCTTAATTGGTGAGAATGGGACAAGGAATATGTCATCACAGGGAGGGACATTATGAGCAGATGGAGGTAGGGAATATTTACATCCAAGTGTCAATACCATGGATCTGCAACTTCAGACTGCCTCTCTGTTAACATGAAATAAATATGCCCACTATTTGCATCCAGTGTCTTGAAATGCGGTGGCATTTAGATGCTGCGTTGTATTATATTGCACAGTCGCATTGGGGACGACGCTTGTGAATGCTGCGTCAATTAAAATAGATCGGAAAATGCATCAATTAATTACGAATGATTATATGCAAAGGCTAAATTAATGTTGCAATTAAGCTAATGGAGCAAACGCAACTGTATACGTGTATTATATGTTCCATTCAACTAAGATCCTATATCTAATAGGGTCCTTGCCTATGACCATCTGGCAGTTATCTGGCATAGGGTCAAGCAGAGCCTGACTGCTGACGAGATACTGAATTTTGATTTAAAGATTTCGTGACTGCAGGGATTGATATTCTTGGTTCTTTCGGTAAAGTCACGTAGAAGGGAAATAATAAAATAGTAAAAATATAAAACAATAAAAAATACTGAATGTTTAAATCGGCCCAGAGTTAGCTTGTATTAAAACACAGCTGCTGGGGGGAAAAACACACCCAGGAATCCGTGTGGCCGATAGGATGTGTTAAAAAAAACACTTGCATTTTTTGTTACGTGAAGGTATAGATATGGGAAGAAGGAATATTGGGTGCATTTTTTTTTATAAATGAGACAGAATGAATGTGGAAACAGAACACGCACGACACGGTGAAAACCAGACGATATAATTGATAATTGAATTCAATAATTACCCTGAATCGTGGCGATGAATCACTGAGTCTGAAAAAAAAACCCCATCCCATTATTTTAGAGAAGGCCAGTGACAGGTGTGTGTACTTGCCTTGAGATCAAAATACCAGCCCTCGGTGTCAATAACGCGAGACATGGTCTTGGACGAGTCACTCCAGTTGTCACTGGGGTCTAAGCAATTCGAAGAGAAAAAAAAAACGTTCATGTCACGGTGCATTCGATTATCACAAACGTGACAAGCTCACAAAGTGCGGCTTGATGAAATCTTACGCTAATGAACTCACGCTCAGTAACCTCCAGTACTCAATTTATATAGAAAACAATTACGAAGTGAATGCAATGAGAGTTCTGGCTTATGAAGTCCACTTATCTTACTCATTATCGCCGCCTTCTGTATTATGTTAATGATTACAATATATGTAGTATGTGGGAGGGAGTGATCATGGCATGGTGGTTATTAAGCAAAATGTGCTATATGAACCCGGAAATCTAAGTTCGATGCCGGGCCATGGCAAACATTGATAGAAAGTGGTATCGGAACCAGTGCGGAGCCCACCCCCATTCACCTACCGGCACTGACTAGCCTGGTGAAGTATGGTCAGAACAACTATTATTACCAAAATGCTTTGGAGAGGACTCCTTTAAGCTTTGGATTTACAAACGCTGTCAATTCTTAGTATCGTATGTAGTCTGCATACCAAATATATATTCGCATTTGACGTATCAGTTTTTAAATAATCTAATTATACCATGCTCAAACAAGCATATATAAAGTAAATATGCTCGTGTTTTTTGGGGGGATTATAAGTTGCGCAGGAAATATGCTGTAATTATATCATCCCATTTTTGACAATTTCATTTTCAAATCTACTTGATCCCCAACGTTACGTGTTTGCAAATCTTGCACGTATGGGATATTTCGCACCTTCTTGCGTGATGAAAAAGGTGCAATTACAATAATATCATGCACCTATATACATGAGCAGGTTTTAATAGTGTGGGTGGAGCTCATTACTCAATCGACCGGTCAATCAAATGCCTGTATTAAAACTCAACGAGAGCCCATTATCAAGTCTGCATGCCTCTTGTACACAGAGACATCTGAAGAGAAAATCCAAGGCAAGGAATTTAGTCACGTCAGTCAAACTGTCTCCTCGTGCAAGTGGGGCATTCATTAAAAAAGTGCTCTTCCAAATTTTATTCCAATTGCACTACTGGCATCCATATCATGATATTAATCCATTCAGAACGCTCACAGTCAGGAGTGCATTTAACCCCCCCCCCCCCCCCCCATGTGTTTGAGAATGCTCCGCAGAAGGAGATATTACTGAACTATTTTCCAGTGGCTTTATCTCTGCACTCTTAGGGATTGCACTGCCCAACATTCGCTTCTGCAGAGAAACGTTTGTCGTACGGCAGACCGTTATTACTGCCTATCTCTGTTGTGTTGGGAATTGCACCGTCCTAGAACGGGGGCCATTCTTAACCAATAGACAATCAAAGTTGACTTCTCTAAAATTGGTACTCATTTTATTTACGTCCAGGGGGTTGGCGATGATGGATTACGTTGGCCTGCGACCAGGATTTTACCAATATACTGATTGTCAGTCCATGCACTGGCTACAGAGTCACCTGGCCTGAGGGAAACACGGCATGTGAGAACAGTGGTGTGGCATTAAAACGCACACGAGGTGTGGTGGGTGAGTGTGCGACAGTGTCATTGGTAGAATACAAGCCAGCACCAGCCCGTCCTAGACAATTTATTCTAAACCACATTCGTTAATGTAACTATATTGCGTAAGCAACCTGAAAACCTCATTAGTGCCTTAGACCTCCACCCAATTGGCCATTGGTAGCCTCATTATTTGGCTACCCACTGATTCACACATGGGCAATTAAAGTTCTCATGAAGTAGATTGTACTCTACAGCAACAAACGAACTCCTTTCATCGTCCAGCCTGGTACCGAGTTGTATTAGATATGCTGTCCTTCTCTTTAGCACGAAGTTCAACACACACATGTACATCAGTTAAAACGTATATGTTTCCGTCTCGTGTTTTTTTTTTTTGGGGGGGGGGGAGGGGGGGCAAAGGTTGCATATGACTCATCATCACTGCCATAGATGATCTGAGGCTTCTTCCAGTCAGAATAAGCCCTGACGCGACAGTTTTTTTTTTTTACGCTGAAAATCGCTTAACCAAGTGCCCGTGACTGACAGGCAAATAACACGTATTGTCATGCGGACGGTAACTTGCCGGACGTCCAGGTGACGGTGAGCTGCTGTCCCCAGAAGACGGTGCTGACGATCGCCATTTTGGTGCCGCCGTTTGGCAGCGGCAGCTGCACGGCGCGGAAATAAACGTCGGGGCCCTCGTGAAGGACGTTCTCCTTCCAGAACTCCTGCACTTGGCCGCCCATCAGCCCCGGGTTTTTGAACCAGATCAGCTGGCCGTTTCCAGTGGCTGGAATGAAGGAGAGGATTTATTAACACGTAGGCTTTTCGCGACAAATGTTATACACAATAGGGGATCTTTTTTGGGAGGGGGTGAATATAACTGCGTCGTTAAACCCGCCACCACCCGACACTGGCAATGAGTAAGATTAGTAAGATTTGAGTTACTGGTTCAGCACACATTGGTGTGTTGGAGGGTAAACCCACAATATTGACAATTCGAGTACGACGTTTCGCCGGTAATTACAACCAGTCTCATCAGACGTCAGGCATGATTGTGGAGGAAATCCTCCTGTTTCGGTGTTAAACCGATGGATTAATGTTATGGCTTTACTCTCCAACACACCGGTGTGCTGTACCGGTAACTAATTGCCATGTTTTGTTTCCGTGACAAACTTTACTAATTGGCTGTGTCGGGTGGTGGTGAGTTTAACGACACATTTATATTTACTCAATCTATCTAAAAAAAAAACTCCAAGTGTCCGACACGCTCACCGATGTGTCTGTCAGGTTGTTACCGTGCATTGTACGGCATGACGTTAGACCTTTTTCTCCACCTGATGTGGAGAAAGAAAGCACGTGGAGCAAAACGTGGGACATGATGCCGAACAACGCGCTGCAACCACGTATATATTAAAAATGAAAACCCACTTCGGAGAGCTGTATGATACAGCCGCGAAAGCCTCTGCAGTCGTGGCGTCTAGCTCATGCGGAGAGAGACACACGCAAGTGCTGGGCAGAGTTGCTTTCAAATAATGAGTGAACGTTGAATAGATCGAAGCTCGATCACGCTAGGCAAGACGACCGTTTGTCTTGAACAAAAAACCACACACACACTAAAGTAATAAAGGAACGCTTCCCTCCGAGGCGCGAGACAGTCGGACGGTGATTGACTCGGCTGGCTGCGTTATGTCCTGACTGCGTTGCCACATACGTCCTGTGCTCTGTGCCCGAGCGGTCAGCGCGTCCTTCAGGCCATCGTGGTCCATGTCGACCCATTCCACGCGGTGGTAGAACCACTTATTCCCAGTCTCGTCCACGGTCAGCGTCAAAACACCTAAAAAAACAACACGAAAACAAAGCAATATAGCACACAGATACATACTGTAATTTGTATCTTGTCGCGTGACAATGTGGTTAAAGAGATCAACTCACAAGCGAGAAGGTTGTGAGTTCAAATGACTTGGTCAGGGATTGATTCGTCCCATCGTCCCTCTGGGGTCAATCATTTGAGTGCCGTTTTTTGGGAAGCCAAAAGTGGTCAGAAAGTGTTTGCATGCTCAAACAAGCATGGGGCAGTTGCTCATCTTCATTGGCAGTCCTGAACCATTGGTGGAAATTCCACATTCCAAGGATCAGTCTCTCCATAGGACAACAACTGTTGACGTCCCAGAGAGTGGCACTGATTTGAGTGATTCCAGAGGAATTATGGGTTGAATTAACCTTTGCCCAGGATAATGTTATGGCCACGTCACAAGCCCTACCTAGCCATATTTTTATAGCAATTATTCATTATTCTTGACTTAAAGCTTTCGTGACTGCAGGAACTCATGTTCTTTGGTTCTTTTGGTAAAGTCATGTAGATAGAAAAAAAAATAACAATAAAATAATAAAAATAAAAAAGTCAAGTGAATTTTTTGTATTCACTTTATTTTAATCATTCATGTTTCCTTGTATTGACCAAGAACAGCGTCAGAAGGGTCCTGCATCGAGATGATTGGCCAATTCGATTAATAAGTGTTTTGCTTCTTGTGGAAGGAAACTGGAGTGCCTTGAGAAAACCCACAATGTTTTAAGCGGGGATAACACTCAGCACAGTCATCTCCTGGACACACCTCACAGACTAACAACCACAATACATGGCCAGCCCTGGAGGTCAACCATCTGAGTAATAACCAGGCTCAACTCTGCTTAGCTCGTGAGATCTTACGTAATTGGGTGCTTAAGGGTTATTTCGTCACGGAAAATTAATTCAGAAAAGACGAAATAAAATAATGATGTAGGGTCGTGGATTGAGATGTTGGATAATTTGCTTATTAGGTATGCAGATGGAAAATATAATTCCCAGAGCCTCTCCCATGCAGTAAAAGGAGATAACACTCAAAATTTTACACGAAATAGATTAGCAGCCAACTTGCTACACTGTCTCCACACATGCATCTCGTAGTTGGCTTTGTATACCCTTCACGTGATCCATTTGAAATGTTTACAGTGGAAGTCATGGATCTGTCCATTATGATGATCCAAATGTTTTTTCAAATGAGTCAGAATAATTGCAAAGAGAGAAATTACTTCCTAAGCTGGTGTGTGCATGATGACATGCTGATGAAGTCGCATAATACTTAACTTATGTGTAATGAGCAAACTTATTGCAATTTCACGCATGAAAAGCGCAGCGCTTGTGAAAGACGCATAAATGTAAATCGGGTGTTGTTCGTGATCTGACAAAATAAAATGTACACAAATAGATTATTAAGCAGGTGCCAGTTTCTTTTAAAGCTGAATTTAAGATACTTTCTTCCAATAACATTTTTCGATCATCTATATTAAATGAGACATCTGAGATATAATAACGGTTGCCTCGGTGTCCCGAGCAAAGTCAGGAGGAGAGACTGTTGTTGTTGATCAACTTCATTTGGTTGGGCATTGTTATCAAATTATGGATATCGTCTATGACATTTGATTATCACAATGGCATTTCGTTATTAAAGGTATAATTGGTTATTTGTAAAAAAAAAAAAAGTGTAATATGTAATAACAGTAATTTCCAGCTTTTTTTTAATCGATTAGTCATTAATGGATGAAGGCCTCCCCTTGCCATGTCAGTCAATATGTTTTTGCTGGTGAAGTGGGGGCTGGTGAAGTGGGGGAACTGAGGGGGTGGGAGCATAACTCGGTTGTAATTCGCCACCGATGAGCTTCGGTCGCTGGGTTCATAGTTCAGCGCTCCACCAATAATGAGAATAGGCAAACGACATGGATACAATTGTTTGTTGTGAATATAACTCAATATTGTTCCAATTACTCTGTCGGAGGCGTACACAACGTACAGAGATGCCCTGCCTGTGTTACATCACGTCAGGGAATGTGAAACAACACCGCAGGATTGTTTCAAGAGGTGTCACTCCAATTAGTGTCTCAATATGAGTATCCATTGTTTTCTCTTCGAGCTGGAATGGGCTTATTAAGCGGAAGTTTAATTAAATTTCATATTTTCGCGACCAGTTTGGACTGATTTGAAACAAAATAAGTCTTGCTCAGGGATTTAATTTAATTGTTTTCATTTTTATTTCTTTTGTTTTTTACCTACTTGAATTTACCGAAAAAAAACAAAAAGTATGGATCCTTGCAGTCACGAACACTTCAAATCTAGAATTGCTCAGGAGACTCGCGTAACTACGTATAGGGGAGACTGATGTTCGTGGTGGAGATTTATTTCAGGGCACTTTTTCAAATGTTGGATATGGTCTGTGACACTTGCTCACGGTGTCATATCGTCGTGAAATGTCATAGAGTTTGTTTTATACGATATCTTTGTTTTGCGGTCGATGTTCAAATTCCACCAAGGTTGTCCTATTTGTTTTGTAAGAGCCATGTCATTTGACACAGAAATGACTCAGGTTGGTCGTCTAACATTGTGTCAGGGAGCAGCTCTGGAAAATGACATTGCTTTGTGAAATCGTTTTCTGCGTGACAATCACCCAATGTGCATATTATTATTATTATTATCATAATTCAAGATGTACTAGGAATTATAATTAAAAACACACTTTACAAACAAATCTTGTTCAATCATCATGAGTGACTGAGCTGAGAACGTCAACTCACGACTCTTGAGAGCCGGGTTTATTTACGGTGGCTGCCTGGATTCAAACCCAGGCTTTATACTCTTAGTTTTTTCGGTAAAGTCACGTAGGTAAAAAATTTGAAATAAAAATTAATATAAATAAAATTGAAATAAATAATCACGACGTTTCGGAGGCAACACAAGTCTCCGTCATCAGGTGGGACCGTCACAGCCAGATTTACTGTTTCGCTTGATATCACTTGATACAGCAAATCTGGCTGTGACGGTCCCACCTGATGACGGAGACTTGTGTTGCCTCCGAAACGTCGTGATTTTTTATTATTTTATTTATATTAATTTAAATTTTTAACCTACGTTACTTTACCGAAAAAACTAAGAGTAAGAATCCTTGCAGTCACGAAAGCTTCAAATCTAGAATCAAACCCAGGCTTTCAGCGGTTTTAGCTTAGTGCTCGAACCTCAGAGGTTGCCACCTCTGAGGTACAAAACAAAACCCAGGACAAATCATAGGAAAAACGATATGTAACGATGACAAAGGAGAGGCAAACTACATGCAAATGCGTTGTCTTAAGTGGTGTAGTATCACAAAACTACCAACAACAAAGAATTGGTCTTTTCAGTGCCCGGGAAGATTTACAGATCCCCCCTCTCTCCCCCCGGGACAGTAGCCACCTGAAGAAGAGGACCATCCTAGACACGTGGCAACAACCTTTTTCAGTAATCCGAGGAAAATAATCACGATTACTTAAAAGTAGCTATTCAGGTGAATGCAACAGCAGATGGCGCCTTTTTGTGTCAACACGTACACGCACTGTATTCTAACCTAATAACCTCGCAGAATTTAGTAGATGGCTGCAAAATATGAACCGCTTGCGTGTGGAACAGCGGACGTGATTTTGGCCATGTAGCACTCGGCGCGCAAGTCGCTCAACCAGTTTCTGCCCAGCGCCCCACGCGGGCACTGCGTCGTCCCGTGACCCGCCGTGAGGACATGGTCCTTTGTCATTGCTTGCATACCATCCACGGCTGTGGGCCCCCTGGACATGTCCCACAGTGAAACCCTTCCGTTGTCCTTGCCTCCGACCATGAATCCTTCGGAACACGTCCAGTAATAATTGGAAGGAAATATCCCATCTGGAAAGAGAAGAAGAAGGCAACGCGCGTGAGATACGTCTCGATGAAATGCAGATGTATTGCTCGGTTTTTTTAATTCTTTATATTAAGTTCGCTTGCTTAGGACCGTGCAATTCTTTCGGTCGTTTTTTAACCCACTTCCCGTGATCCAATCGAGCTGACATTTTGCACACAGACTCGTTGTGCGTGACAATGCATTTTCGTGAAAAAAAAATTCAACAAATTTTACACTGTTTAGGGAAAATGTTTTAAATATTTAATTACCAATTGCCTAATGCTGCCAGACAATCATCTGACCCATAGGTGGCAGCCATCTCAAGCCAGAGGACGAGAGGACTCTAGCCGCCCCGATGCCACGCATATAAAGGATTTATAGTGAAAAACTTTGTTTTTACAGGTTTGCTTGTTTCTTGCTGAGGTGGAGCTCTGAAATGAACTCGTGTGCAGGTGCCGGGTGCTTCATTACATCTCATGTTCGGCGGCAGCTTTGCGAGGCCTTCACTCCAGCAGTAGATTGACCGTGGCTGATGATGACAATGAGATAATATATGAAATTCATAAACTAATGCGTGGGCCAATAAAACGACTGCGGCTTCAAATGTCATGATTCAGAGCATTGTTGTTGTGCACTGCATCGAAATCAGCGCCGTCGCGAGATCGCCGGAGACCTGCCATCAACCAGCTCATCGCCATTAAATAATCACGCCAATTCTTCTAAGGCATCATTTACCTAGATTACCGCAATTTCATTGTTGTGGATATATATATTTTTAAAACATACCCTGCGTTGGAACCAGACATGCTGCTCAATGAACACTCAGACTGTGCAATGCAGCAATCAGCGTCGGAGCGTGCTTGGCATGCTCCCTGGTGCACAGAAATGAAATGGGCCTCCCTTCTGTGCAGCTTCTCCCGTCTTTGTCGTGACCCGACACCTTGGGCCTCTGTGGCCCATGTGCCCCTGTGCAGTTGCACCGCCTGCGCCCTCGATAGCTACAACCCCTTTGCAGTAATTGGTGAAGGCCAATACATGTGGAGTATGATTGCAATTTAACGCGGAAGAGCTCTGTTTAGGGGCAACTTTGGTTTGCTGGGATTTTTGTCACATTAGTAAAAGTAATGGCGGAGCCCTGCGCAAGTTCTTACTCATTCCACTGGTGGCAGAAAGACTTCAACCCGAGGGATCACGGCCCCACTCTGCTAAGCTGGCCAGACGTCTTGGAAGGGGTGGGAGTGCCCGCATATTATCTCGCCACACACGACCTGCCGATCGAACAAACTGTGCTGATGGTTGACGAACTTGAACAAAATGTGATTGAAAGTGAAGTCATTTAATTTAATATTGATTTGAAGCTTTCGTGACTGTAGGTGGAAAAAATAATAGATCACGACGTTTCGATCGCAACACAAGCAATCGTCATCAGGTGAGACAACCACAGCAAGAAAACTGCTGAAGCACCTGATGACGGTTGCTTGTGTTGCGATCGAAACGTCGTGATGTATTATTTTTTCCACCTACGTGACTTTACCGAAATTTAATTGACTTTATTTACATGTTTGCTAAATAGGTAGTTTCTTGATTTCTTTTGATGTGAGCCCATTGAGACACCAGTTCTCTTTTCCAAGGGCAATTTTGGATACTTTTAAGGGCCTTGCATCACGCGCGAATGTCATGACCCAAAATCCCACATGAGCCATTGTATCAATTTGTTGATTGTCGACATGAAGTAGATTGAGACTGATATGGAGCGGGCAATGTATCAAATAATCAACTATGGTAATATACATTCTAAAGTTCATGATACTTGATTAAAATAAATTGTAAAAAAATCAGTACGTTTCAATTAGTGCCTATTGCTTGTTATGGCTTCGTGTCACCCATGCAGTCACTACAGGCACTGCCATTCACTGAAATATCTATTCATATCAAAAGAGTATTGAATCTTGATAATGCATCGAATCACCAGGGACGGGTGAAAATAGTTCCTCCTGGGACCACCATGAGAGGCTATCACACCATGCCCCACAAGAGGGCGACGTTAACCTAAAGTTCACAGAAAAAAACTGACCAGTGTGTCGAGTTCACTCTGGTATCTGCAATGCGTACGCGAAAATGCATCAATACATTTTCAGGAGAGTTCTGCTACATTGGGATGTTTGGCCAATTCCATTAACGAGTTAAATTGGCTTCTCGTGGGAGGAAACCGCAGTGTCTGGAAAATACTGTACCCATCACCAGAGGTGTGGACTCGAGTCATGTGACTTGGACTCGAGTCAGACTCGAGTCATGAATTTGATGACTTCAGACTCGACTTGGACTTGCATAACAATGACTTTGTCCCACCTCTGAGGTGTGGACTCGAGTCATGTGACTTGGACTCGAGTCATGCATTTGATGACTTCAGACTCGACTTGGACTTGCATAACAATGACTTTGTCCCACCTCTGAGGTGTGGACTCGAGTCATGTGACTTGGACTCGAGTCATGAATTTGATTACTTCAGACTCGACTTGGACTTGCATAATAATGACTTTGTCCCACCTTTGAGATGTGGACTCGAGTCATGTGACTTGGACTCGAGTCAGACTCGAGTCATGAATTTGATGACTTCAGACTCGACTTGGACTTGCATAACAATGACTTTGTCCCACCTCTGAGGTGTGGACTCGAGTCATGTGACTTGGACTCGAGTCATGAATTTGATGACTTCAGACTCGACTTGGACTTGCATAACAATGACTTTGTCCCACCTTTGAGATGTGGACTCGAGTCATGTGACTTGGACTCGAGTCAGACTCGAGTCATGAATTTGATGACTTCAGACTCGACTTGGACTTGCATAACAATGACTTTGTCCCACCACAGAGGTGTGGACTCGAGTCATGTGACTTGGACTCGAGTCAGACTCGAGTCATGAATTTGATGACTTCAGACTCGACTTGGACTTGCATAACAATGACTTTGTCCCACCTCTGAGATGTGGACTCGAGTCATGTGACTTGGACTCGAGTCAGACTCGAGTCATGAATTTGATGACATCAGACTCGACTTGGACTTGCATAACAATGACTTTGTCCCACCTCTGAGATGTGGACTCGAGTCATGTGACTTGGACTCGAGTCAGACTCGAGTCATGAATTTGATGACTTCAGACTCGACTTGGACTTGCATAACAATGACTTTGTCCCACCTCTGAGGTGTGGACTCGAGTCATGTGACTTGGACTCGAGTCATGAATTTGATGACTTCAGACTCGACTTGGACTTGCATAACAATGACTTTGTCCCACCTCTGAGGTGTGGACTCGAGTCATGTGACTTGGACTCGAGTCATGAATTTGATTACTTCAGACTCGACTTGGACTTGCATAACAATGACTTTGTCCCACCTTTGAGATGTGGACTCGAGTCATGTGACTTGGACTCGAGTCAGACTCGAGTCATGAATTTGATGACTTCAGACTCGACTTGGACTTGCATAACAATGACTTTGTCCCACCTCTGAGGTGTGGACTCGAGTCATGTGACTTGGACTCGAGTCATGAATTTGATGACTTCAGACTCGACTTGGACTTGCATAACAATGACTTTGTCCCACCTTGAGATGTGGACTCGAGTCATGTGACTTGGACTCGAGTCAGACTCGAGTCATGAATTTGATGACTTCAGACTCGACTTGGACTTGCATAACAATGACTTTGTCCCACCACTAGAGGTGTGGACTCGAGTCATGTGACTTGGACTCGAGTCAGACTCGAGTCATGAATTTGATGACTTCAGACTCGACTTGGACTTGCATAACAATGACTTTGTCCCACCTCTGAGGTGTGGACTCGAGTCATGTGACTTGGACTCGAGTCATGAATTTGATGACTTCAGACTCGACTTGGACTTGCATAACAATGACTTTGTCCCACCTTGAGATGTGGACTCGAGTCATGTGACTTGGACTCGAGTCAGACTCGAGTCATGAATTTGATGACTTCAGACTCGACTTGGACTTGCATAACAATGACTTTGTCCCACCTCTGAGGTGTGGACTCGAGTCATGTGACTTGGACTCGAGTCAGACTCGAGTCATGAATTTGATGACTTCAGACTCGACTTGGACTTGCATAACAATGACTTTGTCCCACCTCTGAGGTGTGGACTCGAGTCATGTGACTTGGACTCGAGTCAGACTCGAGTCATGAATTTGATGACTTCAGACTCGACTTGGACTTGCATAACAATGACTTTGTCCCACCTCTGAGGTGTGGACTCGAGTCATGTGACTTGGACTCGAGTCAGACTCGAGTCATGAATTTGATGACTTCAGACTCGACTTGGACTTGCATAACAATGACTTTGTCCCACCTCTGAGATGTGGACTCGAGTCATGTGACTTGGACTCGAGTCAGACTCGAGTCATGAATTTGATGACTTCAGACTCGACTTGGACTTGCATAACAATGACTTTGTCCCACCTCTGAGGTGTGGACTCGAGTCATGTGACTTGGACTCGAGTCATGAATTTGATGACTTCAGACTCGACTTGGACTTGCATAACAATGACTTTGTCCCACCTCTGAGGTGTGGACTCGAGTCATGTGACTTGGACTCGAGTCATGAATTTGATTACTTCAGACTCGACTTGGACTTGCATAACAATGACTTTGTCCCACCTTTGAGATGTGGACTCGAGTCATGTGACTTGGACTCGAGTCAGACTCGAGTCATGAATTTGATGACTTCAGACTCGACTTGGGCTTGCATAACAATGACTTTGTCCCACCTCTGAGGTGTGGACTCGAGTCATGTGACTTGGACTCGAGTCATGAATTTGATGACTTCAGACTCGACTTGGACTTGCATAACAATGACTTTGTCCCACCTTTGAGATGTGGACTCGAGTCATGTGACTTGGACTCGAGTCAGACTCGAGTCATGAATTTGATGACTTCAGACTCGACTTGGACTTGCATAACAATGACTTTGTCCCACCACAGAGGTGTGGACTC